TGTGAGGGGGCAAAGCAGACGCTCAGGCCAAGGGCCTTCGCTGAGGGCTCCAGGGAGGCCCCGGATGCCTGGCAGGCCTGATCTAAACAAACTCACTCCAGAGGTGGCACACACCGGTAATCCCAACACTCAAGAGACTGAGGCAGGAGGATCTCAAGTCTGAGTCTAGCCCAGGCAACTCAGAGACTGAGCAAGACCCGGACTCAAAATAAAATATTAGTGGAAAAAAGAGATCTAGCCCAGTGGGAAGGGCCTGGGTTCAACCTCTAGACACACACACACACACACACACACACACACACACACACACAAATACACTCAGATCTGCCATCCTCTATGGCATCTGGGGAGCGGGGAAGGAAAATTTCAGAGATAGAGGCAGGGGATACGGCAGTGAAAGGACATGGTAGGGGTCGAAAATAAGATTTGGTGTCAGGAAACAAGCGCGTACACTCTTCTGAACCCAGAGTGTAAAACTGTCCTTGTCGCCTGATTCTGAAGAGAAATGGTGGCTAACATGGGATTTTCTTCCTCAACTTCCCCAGGAATATAAAATGTACAATCCCAACAGACTGAGGCAGGAGGATCCTGTGAGTTTAAAGCCAGCCTGGGCCGCACGTGAGGCCCCCATCTAAAACTCCAGAAATGAAAAGGAAAGAAAGAAAGAGCGTCTTCACTCTGAACTCTTTCCTCCCCACCCTGGGCACAGCTGGTCTCGTAGGAGTGGGGACAGAAGCCCCTGGAGCCTGCCAGGGGACTGGCCCAGGATAAGGGTACAGGTGTGCATGGACCTTCTCAAGGCAGTCTTGAAGATACAGGGGCTTTGGACAGAGAGGAGCAGGGAAATTCCAGAGATTTTTCCCTGCAAGCAGATACTTCCTTAGAGGGTTGCTAGACTAAATAACACTCATGTGTCTGAGGGCTCGGCGTGCACCGCTGACCTGGCCGAGTTCTCCAGGCTGGAGGTGCACCGAGCTCTCAGGTGCTGAGCGTGAGCATCCCCACCGGAAACATGTGTGCCACCCTCCGCCGTGCCCCAGCACCCTCCAAGACGGAGGAAGGATTCTATGGCAGAATGGGCACAAAGTGGCTGAACTTCTAGGAATAAACACACAAAGGCCTGTTAACCCACTCTCCTTCACATATGTCCATGTGAACTTAAATAGATCCCACTTTTGAGAGCCCGATGTATGCATTTGTTTATTTATATTGGAGACACAGTCCTGCTATGTAGCACACCAGCCTTGAACTCACTATATAGTACAGGCTGGCCTCGAACTCACCGCAACCCTCCTGCCTCAGCCTCCTGAGTGCTGTGATTACAGGTGTGCACCACCACAGCAAGCTCTTACACTTTTAAGAAGCCACATTTTCTACTTTTTTTTTTTTTGAGACAGTGTCTTACTGTGTAATGCAGGGTGTCCTTGAACTCACCCTGTGAATCAGGCTGGTCCCAAACTGGCAGCTATCCTGCCTCAGCCTCCTGAGTAGTGAGATTACAGGTATGAGCCACCATGCCCAGCAAGAAGCCAAATTTTTAAATGAAGTGTATCATATAGTGATATTAGTATTGTAAGAAAACCTACAGTAAGCCAAGCATGGTGGCTCACAGTGGGTGAGTGCTATAATCCCAGCACTCGGGGAGCTGAGGCAGGAGGATCGTTGCGAATTCAAGACCAGCCTAGGCTACAAAGTGAACTCAAGACCAGCCTGAACCGCACAGCGAGATCCCATCTCAAAAAGACAAAAAAAAAAAAAAAAGCCTACAATAACATAAAAGTAATATTCGGTTTAAATAAAGCATTTATCATGCTGTTACTGGAGTTTTTAGGGTGAAAGCCCCAGCTCTGTGGCCCCAACAGGTCTCACTCAGCCCCCTGTCCCAAGATGCCAGTCAGGGACCCAGCCAAGAAGGCCAACTGGTACGGACACAGGACAGACCTGTCTGTCATGGGCTGGCAGGAGCTTTGGGTTTTATGGAAAGGGACAAAGGGGACGTTGGTGGTGCCCTGCTGGCGCGGTGGGGAAGCCTGGTCTCGCCTCGGGATGCTTGGTCTTTTCTCAGGCCTGGGTCTGTGAGGTGGCTCTGGAGAAGTCCCTAAGACTCGAGGAGACAATTTGGTCCCCACGAGATGCTTGTGCCTACGTGTCAGGGTGGCCTGGTCATGAGGTAATCCAGAACACACCTGCTACCCTGAAATGGAGGTGACTTTGGATTTAGGGCACTGATCGGAGACATCTAGGCCCCACGCCAGGGGCTCTGGGACAGGATGCTGTCAAATCTGAGAGCGGGCGGGGCTGCAAACCTGACATTTCAAGCTCGGGATGGCAGCCGATGAGTGTGGCGGGGATTTCAGGGCTGACCACGCCGGCTTTCAGACAGACTTCCTCCCCGGACTCAGGACCATCTTCCGAGAGCACAGCCCTCGCCGGATGCTGCTGGATAACAAGGGTGACAGACAGAAAATGTCCCCGAGCCTGCTGAGTCTAGAGCTGCTTAGATGGAAGAACAGGAGGCAGGGAACTGTAGTCACAGGAACAGCACAGACCCAGCCAGAAAGTCAGCCGGAAACCTTCAGGGCCGCGTGGCCCCTAGGGAAAGACTCAGACACAAGAGCTGATTTGAGACCAGAAATTGAACCTATGTGCATATAACAATGCAGCGTGTGTGTGTGTGTGTGTGTGTGTGTGTGTGTGTGTGTGTACAAGCGCGTGCAAGTAATTCGGGCTACAACCCAGGGCAGGCTGAGTTATATCCCCAATCCTTTCCTTTCCTTTTTTTTATTGTGAGACAGACTCTCCCTAAGCTTCCCAGGCTGGCCTCACACCTGGGATCCTCCTGCCTCAGCCTCTTGAGCTCGGGGTTATAGCATGCACCCCACCCCTACTATTCACCAATCCTGTCCAAAAGAGTCTACATAGAACCAGTCGCAAAGTGAGAAGCACTTGCACAAAACAAAAATATGAGTTTCAAGGCTGCCTCCGTTGTGAGGCCCAGGCCATAATCCTGCTACCTCGGCCTCCCGAGCACTGGGAACACGGGTGGCACCCAGGCCCTCTCCTTTCTGCACAGGCCTTCCCCCAGCTGCCCTGAAGCGTGGGGACACATTAGCTTGTCTTCCTGTCCCTCCCGGACGCAGGAGTAAAACCAAGGATGATGAACAACAGAAAGATGAGGAGGGGAAAAGTGGAAAAATCCCAGAGAGCACAGATGACTGAGTAAACACGTCAGCGAGCCAATTAGCAGGCCGCCCGGACCCCCAGGTACGGAGGAAACCAAGAGCACATGACCCATCAAGGCCTTGCCACCTTCACCAATGGGCATGACACTTCCTTTAAAAACCCGCCCCTTCTTGATGTATGGGCGGGGTCAGCATGCCATTGGCCCAAAATGCCTGTCCATCCCCATGTAGACCCGCCCACAACCTCTGGCCTTTAAGAGACCCAGCGCCGTCCCTAGCCATGTGGTGACTTTCTCTCCGTGGCCGCTCCCACCGTGGCCAGTGTACTTTAGCTCCTACTAAAGTTCACTCTCCTTACTTTCTCCGAGCATCCTTGCTCAGGGCTTTCACAGCCCTGAAAACCTGGAAACATCTCCCCCGGGAAACCAGTGCTTCCAGGCGACTTTGTAATACCTGATGTTCTTGAGTCCAGGTTGAAATTCCACCGCAGCAGCACCCAGTCCTGCAGTGGGAAACGCTGTGCCATGTTTCCATCTGCACCTCAGGCATAGGCGAATCAGGAAGAGCCTGAGATGTTTTTAGGGGCCCTCTACCTTTCTTCCAAGGTAGTACAGACACTACACCTTTCCCTTTCTGTCTGCTTTGACTGTGAGTGAGATTTCTGGAGCAACAGCAGCCATTTACAAGCATGAGGTGACCAACAACTCTATAGCCACTCCCAATGCACAAAGACTGCGCCACCTGCCAGTCTCTCTCCCTGGGTGTAAATACAGTAATTGTAGGACTCGGAAAATGCCTGGAACATCAGTAAGCCAAAGAGGACTTGCTGTGCTATTAAATCTAACTGCTGGCCTACTACCCTCAGCGAATATAAACGAAACAAGATGTTAAAATCCAGCTCTGTTTCAAGCTGGCCAAGGTCCCGAGGCACAGAACAAAGCGGTAGGTGCCAGCGGCTCCTGTGTCCCACTGTGAGGTGCTGGCCCAGCTCAGCAAGGCCAGCGGAGAGGTGATTGAGAGCTGGAGACTGCCCGTGATGCCATGCGGCCAGGCCAGAAGGGCCGAGTTGGAAATTTTTGTTTTTATTTTTGAGACAGGGTCTCATTATGTAGTTCCAGCTGGCTTGAACTCACTCTGTTGCCCAGGCTGGCCTCAAATGCACAGTGATCCTCCTGCCTCAGCCTCCCCAATGGAGGTTGGACACTTAAGAGCTAACTTGTCTAGAGAGAGTTCTAGGGGATATGACACCGCCCCTGCCTACCTGAACCCCACCGAGGACAGGAAAAGGCTGCCTCTTGAGAGGTGTCAGGCAACCCAGGAGCTTGGGCACCAAAGAACGAGTGTCAGTCATATTCTAGAATCTTCTAGACAGAAAAGGATGGGTGGCCACAGTAAGCCCCAACACCAACCACATGAAGGTTTTGAGGGGCAGCAGCAGGGGACAAGGTGCTGCCCCATCTCCCGATTCCCCCTCAGAGCCAAGACAGCCCTAGAACTGGGAGGGAGCAAAGCCTGCTCCAGGGAAGGCCCCACCTCGACTTCCCCCCAAGCTGGGCAGCCCATCAACGAGCCCCTGTGCCCCGTACCGTAGACCCAAAGTGACTTGGGGCATCTAAGGAGCTGCCAGAGAGGTCCCTGGGGCTGAGGTAAGCCCACCCTCCAGGGAGTTCAGACAGGCCCTGCAGTGTGGTGGTGTCTGCCTGGCGTTGAGAGTGGGAAGCCAGGCACTCTCGAGGCTAAAGGGCCCTCAGAGTCAGGCCGCCTCGGGGCTCGGAGGAGCCAAAGGGAGTCCGTGCATGTGCACCAAGAGTCAGGCAATCCAAATGCAATGATTTATTGAGCTTTTATCACATGCCCTGAAGACAGAGGGCGCTCACCATGGCACAGTGGGGAGACGGGAGCGGTGCCATAGCCAGGATCTTTCCTCCCCCAGACTTGCTGGGAGAACCCAGAGTTCAGCGGGCAGCTCCGGAAGTCACGGCCTTCCAGATGGGCAGAGGGACAGTCGCAGGCAGTGGCAGAGCTGGAGCAGAGCACAGGGCAGGGTCCGCAGCGTGTAGCCCAAAGACCAAGCCAAAGAGCTGCCTGAGCTTCACCTCTAGGCTGTGGGGAGTGTGATACAAACAGCAGTGCATGGGTGACACGTGCTAACCCTGTGGTGGTAAAAACCTCGGCTGTTGTTGTCTGTCTGAGACAGGGTCTCACTGTCAGCTCAGGCTGGCCTTGAGCTCACTTTGTAGCCCAGGCTGGTCTTGAACTTGCAGCGATCCTCCTGCCTCAGCCTCCCAAGTGCTGATATTACAGGCGTGTACCACATGCCCAGTTGGAAAACATATTTTTAGAAGTGTCTTGAAAGGATTAACAAGATAAACATTTCGGCACGCAGGCCGTGTGGTTATCACACTGTATGGTCCCCACACAAGTTATCACTTAGGCATACTCAGGTTGTATGGCTCTCACAAGTGACTTTAGACCCAGAGAGTATGTTTAGAACCAGACAGAAGCTTCTGTGCTGCTCACATCACCTTCCTCCCTGCACTCTAGGAGGCCGAGGCAGGAGGAGCGCAAGTTTGAGCCCACCCTAAGCGATTTAGTGGGGCATTGTCTCAGAATAAAAAATTAAAGGGCTGCTCGAGCTCAGTGCAAAAGCTCTGGGTTCGATTTCCAGAAAGCAAACACACAAAGCAAGACTCGGAGGAGCACAGAACGACCGATGCCTTTTAAATCCACAGGAAAAGCGGTTCCCTCCCCCTCCGCCCCCGCCCCACAGGCTGGAACCTGGAGGGTTGGCTTGGACAGACTCTGTCTCCCCAGCAGACAACGTGTTGAGAAGCAGCAGAGCCGAGCAGCGGACAGTCGGTCGGCAATCTGTCTCCAACGGGGCTTTCCGAGCCGTGGGAAGCAGAGCCAGGTGGTGCCTGGAGGCGCAGAGGGGGAGATTGGGCAACAGCGTGGCTTGGGGCTCACTCTTCCAAACTCTCGGCCCCGGTGCCAAGGAGGGGCCCCGCCAGGATATTAATAGTGCTGGTGTACAACCCTGGAGGAGCCCGCACAGAAGCAGCTGCCTCGGATCCGGGCAGGGGAGCCGGATGAAAGCAGCCGAGGAGGCCCCGGTCACGCTTGGTATTCTGGTCTGGCTGACACTGGGGACCTCAGGAAAAGAATACCACAGTCTGATTTCCTACTGCGCATTTTTTTTCTTCTGTAAATCTGTATAACTTGTACCCTTCACTGTTTTTTTTTTCTTTTCTTTTCTCCTTAAATAAAAATTAAAAAAAAAAATAAAAATAAAAAAAAAAAATAAATAAAAAAAAAAAAAGAATACCACAGTCTTGGGTGGTGACACTCAGCCAGGCAGGGGGCTACACGTCTGTAATCCCAGCACTCAGGAGGCTGAGGCAGAAGGATCACCACTAGTTCGAGGTCACCCTGGGTTAACTGTGAAACTTTGTCTCCAAAATCAATCAGTGAAAAAAGATAAGCCAGGGCTAAGATAATAACAGGCCAGACTTCCCATCCGGTGAAAGCCGCTGCTTGTGAATTCCTGCTGCGGCTTTAGCTGAATTCTGGTTGTCACTAAAGCACAGACTCACACTCGCTATGACGGGAATGCTTGCTGCAGGAGGGGGCTTCTGGGTGACCCGTCTGCCACAAGACACATGCAGGCCAACCCCAGGGGTGACATGGTCACTAAGTGTGGCCAGCCTGCCTTGAGCCTGGCCCCGAACCAGCCCAGGTAGAGTCCCTCCCTGGGCCTCTGGCAGGCCCAAGCCCTTTCGTGACTTCTCCCCAGACCACTAACGTCCCTGCGTCTGGCCCTGCCACATCCCCAGTTCTGACTCAGTGTCCTGCAGGATCCACACAGAGTGCAGCAGAAGCTCTGGTGGGCATCAGCCCTTCTCCATCCACTTCTGCCGACACCTCCTGTCCTGTTGCCTCTGCCCCCCGTCCCCGGCTTCCTTCCCGCTCTCCTCCAATCACCTGTCCTTCCACATGCAGGACAACGCCAGGGGTTCTCGAGTTTTGTTTTGGGTTGAGTCTGACTTTCTTTGCCTGCCCCCAAGAGTCTCTTCATCACCTTTTGCCGAACATTTTCCTGAACAAAGACATTTCATTCCCTGAGAAGACCTCCTTTCCCTTACACAGCACTGGGACAGTCCCCAGCTCCGCAGAGGACAAGAACGGGAAGTACTGTCCTCAGCGCCAGTGTCCTCGAGAAAATATCTGGCCCAGGAGCAGTGTAGAATCTGTCACTGGCCGAGCTGGGTGGACACGGACTCAGAAAGGACCTGTCCATGCCAGCTGGCACCTAAGGATGGGAGAGGCAGTTGTGGAGGCCTCGCAGGGAGACACAGACTGTACCCCAGGGGTTTGCAGGGAAAGGGGGATCTGTGGCTGAGCTGCAGCCGTGGGTGAGGAATCTGGGAAAGGAGAAAATGGGGTGACCGGGGTACACGGTGCCTCCAGCAGACTCATGCGTCCCCAGCCAGGCTTCGTGTCAGACTCTCCATGGCCCTGTCTTTCTATAAGGACTGGGAATTTGTTTCCATCCCTTGGTAGTTTGGTTAAAATTCTTTATTTCTCTTTGGCCCACTGCAGGGCTGTCCATGGCACCCATTTTTTCTACTCTCCAGTCTCTTTGTGATTGGGGGTAGCCAGGGATGTCGGGGACAGACAGCTGGGTGTTCCTTGGCTCACCAAAATGACCCTCAAAAGTCCTGCATTCAAAGGTGAGGCTTTAAGATGCGGATTGGATCAGGGGTGCTGAGCTCACCAGTGGATTCGTCCATGGACCGTCCACGCTGACTGTCCTGTTTGAAGGCAGGGCCGGGGTGGAAGAGGTCAGGGCCTGACCTGGTGGGCGGTCTCTGAGGGGTCCACATCCCTCCCTTCTCCTCCCTTCTCCCTGTGCTATGTATGGGTGGGCAGCTGTCCTCCACCAGGCCCATTCACCCTGCTGTTCCTGCCCTGGATCCAGCAGACCATGAACCAAACCTCCAAAACTGAGATCCAAATAAGCTTCTGGGAAAATGTGGTGCTGCCGCCTTTAAAGTGCTTCCCCGGGAGGCTGGAGATAGAGCTGGGGCTGGAGATGAGCTCAGCTGCACAGCGCCTGCCTGGCAAGCACTGGTCCCGAATTTGGCCGCTGCTATCAAAAAAATAAAATAAAGTTCTTGGCAAACTTTACTTGGCGAATGCTGGGCATAGTGACGCACAGCTGTAGGACCTGCTCTAGGAGGCTGAGGCAAAAGGATCACTGTGAGTTCAAGGCCAGCCGGGACTCTATAGCAAGACCTGATCTCAAAAAAATTACATATAAAAATTATATATTCTTACTTGGCAAAATGAGAGGTTGGGAACGCCCAGGAGGTGCCTCCAGGGGACGAGTGGCATTGAAGAGCCCTGACTTTGAGGAGGGCGCCTAGTTGGGGCCTGACCCTCTCTGCCCCACAACCTAGCAGCTGTACCCACTGAGCACGAGGACTCGCATGGAGGCCAGCAGGGCAGGAGCACCTGTCCTCTTCCCGAGCACACATGTCAGCGTCACTCATGCTGTCTGTAACCCCAGCTCTGCCTGCCCCACCCCCAGCCACATGACATCTCCACTGTGAAACCATATCCAGGGGTGAAGCTTGCTTACGCCAGGCCAAAGGGCATGGTGTGTGCAGAGAGGAAGAGCCATCGGGCTGGTGGTGGCCAGAGGACAAAGGTGCCCGCTGAGCCCCAGAGATCTGCCGCAGACCCTCAAGAGTGCTGGAGGTCCACAGGTGGCCAGGCTGCTGTGAACCGAGGGCGTGGCCTTTTCCCACACCCTGCTGGCACCTGTTGGGGAGCTCGCTGTGGGCAGGCACCTGCCTGTAGGAGCACAGAGGTGTGGGAACTGCAACACTGGTCCCCTGCAACAGCCTTGGGGTCAATATAGACAGACAGCTGGGACTGGGGTGAGGGCCAGGGCCAAAGATCTGACTGGTCCAGGGCACAGCTCTGGGGTTTGAGCGCAGGTGGCTGCAGGTTGGGGCCCCCAACATTTGCATGCCCGTGATTTAAACACGCATGTGCACTGTCCTGCACCGTGTCCCCTGCTACGCTCTCACAGCCACTGACCCAGCCTGCACCTGTGCCCCCATGTGTCCAGGTGCCGACCGAGATCCCATCCAGCACTGGGTGATTTGATTCCCATGGGTGATACCTGTCACTGCAGACGGTTGATGAGTGACACTAGGGCTCCCTCAGAAGCCACTGGGAGCCCAGAAGGAATCCTCCCTCTGCCACACGCAATGCTGCCACCTTCCAGGCATCCGGAAATCCCGAGGCGGGATCAGTATGGCTCCTGCGGGACTGAGGCTCAAAGCCCTTGATCACCCTGGAGAGGATGAGAGGGAGAAGGAGGAGGGGGAGGAGGAGGAGGAGGAGGAGGAAGCTGACGTCCGCCCTGCGGAGGGTGTGCAGGTCCCCAAGCAAGCTCTCAAAGCCCCATGGGGACCCGAAGAAAGAAATGCGCAGGATCCTCTCATGACATCTCAATCCTACCAGAGTCTATGCCTGCATTTATGCTCTGGCCTTGAACTGCCAGAGTTTAGAACATTTCCCTCCAAGCCCTAACCCAGCACCCTGGAACCTGGCTGCATTCGGAGGCCGGAAGGTAACTAAGTTAAGATGGGGCTATGATGGGCAGGGCCTCGCCCGATGATGATGCCCTCGTGATCGGATGGGGTGGGACACAGGCGCACACAGAAGGACCAGAAGACGCATGCCAGCTCTAGCCGGAGGCCTCAGTGGAAAACAGAGGCACAGCAGCCTTGATCTGGGACTTCCAGCCAGGAGACGGCGGGGAGAACACGGCCCGCAGCACACGGCCTTCTGGGAGGCAGGGCTTTCCTTGTGCCTGTCCGTGTAGGAGTGGAACACCTGGATCGTACCGCAGGTGCATGTTCAACCTCAAAGAAAACGAAACTCCAACAGTTCTCCAAAGTGGTTCCTCTTCTAGTGCAGCCATCCCCCAGCTGCGGAGCAGGAAAAGCTGCGGTTTTAATTTGCATTTCACTAAGGCTACTGATTTCAGCAGTTTTAATATACTTATTAGGCATTCAGTAAGCAAAACAGAAGCTTCTTACAGAATACGAGCATTTGCTTGTTCAGATGCTTTTCTCGGCAGATGACATGAAACGCGCTTGTTATCCCAGCACTCGGGAGGCTGAGGCAGGAGGATTGTTGTGAGTTACAGGCCAGCCTGGGCTACAGGGTGAGATCAAGACCAGCCTGAAATGCATAGTGAGATCCTGTCTCAAAAACCAAACCAAACAAAAATTTTGCCCATTTTTAAATGAGTTACATGTTTCTTTATTAACTTTTGAATTGATTGGCTGTTTTGACAGAATCTTACTGTGTATTTCAAGTTGGCCTCGAACTCACTATGAAGCCCAGGATGGCCTTAAACTCAAAGCAGTCCTTCTGCCTCAGCCTCTGGAGTGCTGGGATTGCAGGCGTGCACAGACACTCCTGGCTTTTATTAACTTTCGAGTGTTCCTTATACGTTTTGAATACAAACCTTTTGTTAAATATATGACCTAAAAGTAGTTTTCACCAATCTGTAGCTTCTCTTCTCCGTCTCTTAACAGCGTCTTTCAAACGAAAGATCCAAAGCTGGACCAGAAGCACAGCTCAGCAGCAGACTGCTTGCCGGGCTTTCGCTGGCGTGGCTGAGAAAGTCTTTGCCTAACTGGAATTCACGTGGGCTTCTCCTAAGTTTTCTTCTAGACGTTGTCTACATGCAGACCCATTGGGGGTTGGTACTTTTACAGTAAAAGTTGTGGATCAAGGCTCATAGTTTACATATGGACACAGACGTTCCTCGGCTGACAACGGGGTTAGGTTCCGTCCCAGCAAGCCCCTCCTCAAGGAAAACCTCACAGGTCCAGAAGGCATCGGCATGGCCAGCCTGCCCAGCAGCACACAGGAGGCCAGTTATTTCCTCACGGCCACACGGCTGTTCACAGCCCTGCCCAACGACTCCACAGAGGATTGTGCTGCACGCTGTCAGCCCAAGGGATGATCCAAGTGCAAAACTCGTATGTCAGGCGTGGTGGCCACATCTGTAATCCCAGTACACTCGAGGCTGAGGCGGGAGGATTGCGAAAAGTTCGAGGCCAGCCTGGGCTACAAAGTGATTTCAAGACCAGCCTGAACTACAGAGTGAGACCCTGTCTTAAACATTAATTAATTCAAAATGATCAGTTGGGGCTGGGAGGTGCAGCCCCGTGGCAGAGCACATGGAAGGCTCGGAGTTTGAGTCCCAGAACTGGAGGAAGAGAGAAAAAATAAAGATATTGGAGGTGTGAGGCAGCTCTACCTTGCCCTCCTTTTCCAAAGTCACTTCGGCTATGTCATGTCCTTCCCAGTGTCATTTGAATTTTAGAATTTGTCACTTTCTACCCCAAAATAGGCTCATTGGGATTTGATTAGGATTGCATAATCTTAGGTCAATTTGGAAAGAACAGAATCCTAACGGAATATAATGGTGCCTCAGTCCACAAACTTAATTTATTACACGGTTTGGGGAAAGATATGCCACGACTGTGTTCATCACCCAGTGCAGAGTTCGAAAAGAAAAGCAAAATTTTGCTAAATGCTTCTGTGGGCAAACCAATGTTTGCAACCACAAGCATTTCCAATTGAGATATAATTTATATAACATACAATTCGTCACTTTATTTTTGTTTGTTTGTTTGAGCCAGGATCTCATTATGCAGTCCTCAAACTCTGGGTGACCCTCCTGCCTCAGCCTCCCGAGTAGTAGGGTTCTAGGCATGCGCCACCACCCCCAGCTTCATCACCACTGTCTGATTGCAGAATAACTCATCACACCACCAAGTAAGCTGAGCCCTCTGCAGCCCCTCCTGCGTCTCCTCCCTGTCTCTCTGGTTCCCTGGTCTGCTCTCTGTCTAGAATTTGCCCACTCTGGATGTTTCACATAAACGGAATTATCCAGCGTGGTCCGTCTTATGTGTGTCTGGTTTTTTTCACCGAGCAAAATGTTTTCAGGGCTTGTCCAGGTTGTGACAGCCGTGCTAGCAATATTGAGTCTACAACCCTGGAGCGAACGAACCGATGGACTCCTCACAAACTGCTTTTCAGAATGAAATTCTGAAATCAGCATTTCAAATAGATTTATTTATCCCACCTCAAATGGCAGCACAGGATGGAGTTCTCTCTCTCTCTCTCTCTCTCTCTCTGTCTCTCTCTGCCTCTCTCTCTCTCTCTCTCTCTCTCTCTCTCTCTCTCTCTCTCTCTCTCTCATAGTCTTGCTATGCAGTTCAGGCTGGCCTTGAATTCACTTTGTAGCCCAGGCTGGTCTCAGACTCACAACCACCTCCTGCCTCAGCCTCTCCAGTGCTAGGATTACAGGCCCATGCTGCCACACCTGGCTCTTTGGGATAATTTCTGGTCATCTGGGGCTTTCACAATGGTGGGGCCGTGTAACCAAAGCGGTGCTCCCCAGCGGTCACCAGCTTTCATCACAATTCCCTTCAAGAGCCAGCTCTGCCTTCTTTCCACCTGGCCACAGCACACTCTCTGTGTCCCCTGGGCCCAGCCACCCACAGTGGCCCTGTCCCTAGCCTGTCCTTGCGATAGATAGGATCAGTTCGGGGTTTTTTTTGCTTTTTTTGGTGGGGGGTGGGGGGGATGTTCTATGAATCTCAGGCTGATTTTGAGTTCACTCGGTAGCCCAGACTCACGTCCCTCTCCTGCCTCAGCCTCCTGGGTGCTGGGACTACAGCCATGCACCACCCCACTGAGCTGTCCCTGCACTAAATAAACCCCTGTGGAGCTGCCTGATTTCCCAGGGACCCGCTGAATGCTGACCGTGGGTCCTGGGATATGTCCCATTCTGGTGACAGAAAGGTTACCTTGTTCCAGTTTGCCTGAATCTTAGCACAAACAAGCACCGTGTCCTAGGGACCCTCTCAGCTCCACCCTGATCAGGAGAGCACAAGACCTCTCATTTCCTGTCCTTCTCTTCTCCAGAAACTAAAATGATAATAAAGTAAAATAAAATTTGATAGAACAAAGTCACCAGGCATGGCAAAGCATACCTGTAATCCTAGCACTCAAGAGGCTGAGGCAGGACTGCTTCAAGCTTGAGGCCAACCTGGGCTACAACAAAACAAAACAAAACAGAATAAAATATAAAATTGAAGTGAGGTTTGATGGAACACCGTTTCCATCTTCTATCCGGCCTGGGATCTGGGCCAGACACTGGACTCGCCAGCAAACCCTGTCCCACGTCCTCCTGGTCCCAGCAGCACAGGCTCATCGCTGACACCAAGCCCGGGAAGGCAGCCCAGCAGCCACACCGGTCAGCTGGCCGGGCACGCGCGGTGATGAGGTGGTAGGCAGCACTCGGGACTCGGCAGCCGATGATGAGAGCTTCAAGGAGGAGGTTGTTACGGGCTCTCATGGCTCCCGGGAAAACATTACACTCACTGCCACTTGGATTACGAAGGCCTTGGAAGTGGAGGCACAATCTGTTCCCAAACCGACTCCTCGGGTTTTTCCCTCGTCACCTAGGCACTCGGTATTGTTGTGGGGTTGTTTTCCTGGGCTGGCCAGGACACTCCCTGGGAACGATCTCCTGGCACCTCCTTCCCTGGCTCCTCCGCCAGCCAGCCACAGGCAGGTGACTGAGGCTCCCCCTGCCAAGACACAGCTGTGGGAAAGGCAGCCCCCACCCTGCCTCCCAGGGAGCCTGGCCTGAATGACAAGTGCAGGCACGGACAGGGCCACTCAGGTCCCCACCTTCCCCGCAGCAGCCCTCGGGGACAGCAGGACGAACCCCACTCCCACCCCCACCCCCACCCCCACAGCTCTGGGCCCTTGCTGTCATGCTCGTAGACACCGGGAGACAGACGGTTTGCTTTAGAGGAAATATGCAGTGGGGCTTAAGAAGAAGAGGAGGACAGGAAAGGGAAGAGAAGCCAGGGAAAGCCAGGCTCGTGTCACACCCAGCAGGGCCACAGCCTGGAGATCCCGGCTCCTTTCCGGCCTCACCGAGCTCATCCTGGCTCATGCAGAAGCCTCGCCCCAGCCTCACCACCATCCCTGTCCTGTGCTCGATCTGCTGTGCATGAGATAGCCACGTGCATGAGGCTGTTGGCGCCTGGGCCAGCAGAGACACAGGGGGTCCTCTGTGCGAGTGGCTAGTGGCCCAGAGGTGGCCTAGGAAACAGAGGGTGTACGAGGACCCCAAGGCAGCTCTGGAGGAGGGGTGCTGAGCCTGAGAATGTCCCACAGGGATAGGAGCATCAGGGACAGAGGCCCTGCTCTGAACCCACCAGTGACCTTGACCCGGGGAAGCTGCCACCCACCTGGGCCCTGAGAGTTTTTGTTGGCTTTTTTTTGTTGTTGTTGTTTTTTTGTTTTTCAAGACAGAGTCTTGCCACCTAGGCTGGCCTTGGGCTCACAGGGATCCTCCTGCCTCAGCCTCCCGAGGGCTGGGATTACTGCCATGCGCCACCACATCCAACTGAGCCTCAAAACAGGTACAGAAATTTTAAAATGTGAATTTAAAAACCTACATACCACCCCCAGCTTGTTATGCTTGCCTTGTTTATAGTTTCTGAAAAATAATGTGACCGCTGAATCTAATAATATCAAGGTTAATGAAACTGGGGCTTATATCTGTGCAGATTTCTTCTCTCAAGCAGGCCACTATTGCTGCTTTTCTGAGAGCAGCAGCCTGAGGTAAACGCTGGCCTTTCACCCTGGATGGAATGAGACACCCTGGCAGCAAGAGCCACTGCCTGGTCCCCAAGCCAGGGACCTCAAGAGGGAGACCGCACGGCAGCTATACATGGCACACAGCCCTGGGGATGGACAGCAGAGACACCGGCCAGCTAGCCAGGAGCCCAGGCCCCATGGGGCACAGGGACACACCACAGCAGCTGGCACCACTGCCCTGCACCATGGAACAGGAGT